AGTTTGCAAGAGCCTTGCGAAATCCTTGTGCATACTAGTTTATTCCAATAGCAGCTTGTATTCCGTCATAATCAGAAAACCATGACAATTTGAAGCCTTGTATGACGGCCCAGTTCACTTCCCTCCCTCAGAGGCAAGATTTCCCCCTTTTTTCCCTTTCCTTTCTGTGACTGAGCCACCCTAGTATCTAATTTCCTGAAGAATTGTGGCTGTCCTTCACTGTCACAGTATAATATTTTGGCTGTTTGCTCAGCCCAGGAACCTGAGGGACTTAAATGGCACTCAAGAAGTTTTTATATTCCAAATTAACAAAATGTTTTGATCAACATAGAGGGGAAAGGTCAGATGAAATCAGAGGTGAAATTCCTGAGGTAACTCTGAGGTAAAATATGTACAGACTTTAGTTCTTATAGTTCAGGTTAATGAGAGTTTCTTGGGCTATTCACAGTTACTTAAAATCTATATGTTGAGAGGCTGTTGTTCCAGTGTTTTCCCAAACACTCTAGTGCACTTTCTTTGAGTATTCTCTGACTCTTTTGGTTTCCAGAAGGCTGGTACACTCTTAAAAAAAATCTTTCCTGTACCCAAACACCTTCTTTTGAAACACCAGCACTTGTCTTGAATTTTTAACTGACTCTTAAGGTTTCTACAGGCAGTTTCTAACCACACCAGACCAGGAATCTCTTCAGAGCTAACTCCCTGTTTGACTGGGGATGGAATTGTCTTCTCTCTGTAGAAGATCTATGCCTTTTCCTTGGCCTGAATGGGAGTCTTCGTCTAACTACCCACTCATTCTTGCCAACTTTCCCGAGTTCTCCGTTCTGTGTTAAACAGTCAGTTCTGAAGCTGTCAGTACTCGACTCTTCTCAGTTTGGGCTGAAATCAGACTGAATCTCCTCAGCATCCAATTTAAAAGTCTTTCTCTGATTGACTGATGCTAACCGATCAGATCTCTTGGAACAGCCTGTCACTCAAGGCTCTCTGGCTCTGTGAAGAATTAACCGTTCGCAGTCCTTTATCTGTTTACACAGAACTTCTGAGCTTTTAAAAGTGCAGTCCGTCACACCTTGCAACATAAATCTGTGTTAGTAAAAAAGAATAATCGTGTCAGGTTCAGTAGTTTTCTGGATTGCAACCTGTAATTTTACAAATTTGTAATAGTTGAAAAGTGAAATTATTGTTTGCTGTAGCAGCAGGTAGTCACCATCGTGAAGCTTGTATTCCTGAATGTTGACAAAAACTTGAAAATGTGAAAATAAGTGAAGGCAGTCTCATTTCAAAGAGTATGAGCAACATCATTTGCTACTCATTAACTTTTGTAAAATTGAGGTTAACTACTGATGACATTCAGTTTCCATACGAACAGTATCTTCAGCCTTAGTCTGGTGTTCGCTGTATTCCTAAGTATTTTCATGCCAATTGGGCTAGACTTATACACTATAAAAGCAGGATCTTCACATTTCCTTCTCTGCTTCTGTAATTTTTGGTAAAATACAACTCATGAGATAACATTGCATAGTATGTTTTCCCTCCTCTGCTTCTTTTAATTGATGGCTACTTGTAGAAGTCACAAATTTGCAACATATTGCATGTAGTATACTTTTATTACTGTATTGTTTTTAATTGCATAATCCACCTTGAGTTTCTGGTGAGAAAGGCAGACTATAAGTGAAGTAAGTAAATACCGGTAAATACAAGGCAGACTATAAGTGAAGTAAGTAAATAAATATATTTCAGTGAGATGTTATGGGGGACAGAGTGGAAAAGAAGATTTTCTCGCCAATAGCTGCCATGCACCCTCCATAACATGTTCTGGCCTTAGTTGTAATTAAAATGTACAAATTACATTTAGTTCCACACTTCATTCTTTCATAGTGTCACGCTGTGCAGCTACCCCGTGAAAGACGCCACCTTCCGCCACCTCGCCCTCTGTCATCAGGATGCTCTGTAGGCCTCAGAATGGGAAGGGAGGGAGTTCAAAGTCACCTTAGCTCTCCAAGTTTCCCGGCTGAAAGGCTTTGTTACAGACACGAGCCTCCAGCCTCCCTCCTCCCTGGCCTGTAAAAGAGCCTCCTTTATACTTCCCTCTTCTGGCTGGTCCCTCTCTCTCCCCCTGTCTATTTCCTCTCTTGTTTCTGACTGTCAACCTCCAGGCACACCCCTCTTGCTCTGCCCTTGGACTTTCCCTTGGTGTGGGGCATGCTCGAGCTACCTGCCTCCCTACACCTCCTGTCCCTTGTTTCCAGCACTGCCCTTGGACGCGGCCAGCTCATCATCTTCCAGAGTGAGGGTGGGCCTGCCTTTGCCAAGGAGTCTGGGGCTGTTGGAGTCGCCGTCCCAGAAATGGGGCTGTGGCCCTGGACACATAGTGTGAACAATGGGCCCCTCCATGCTTCGTGAGCACTTATATTCTTTCTTACAAGTAGTGTATTTCTGGTTGCTAATCTGATTTTTTTTAAAAATACCAAGCATTTGGATAGTTTCCTGATCATTATTAGCTGCAGCTAATTTTTTTTTTGAGATTTTAGCCTTTGTAAATGTTAAAATCCTTTCAGTGCTTTTTTCCATTCAACTTGGGAATGGTTTCAAAATTTCTCTCTTACAGATGGTTCAACTGTTAAGGACTCAGTGCCTTTTAAAATCAGGAAATGATGTAATCTGAGACAGATTTTTATCGGAGAAAGACGCTGAGATCTCACTATGATATTGTAAAATGGCCTTTCTTTTACAAAGCAACAAACTGTGCTTTTCATGCCATTCCTTAACTACCAGCATTAATTTTTAATATAAATTTACTAAGAATAAAACATGTACAGATTCCATAAATACATAAGAAAAGCCCTATTGGCTCATACCTAGGGAGTTCCTATCTAACACCCCCTTTCCAACCGTGACTACCAAGTTATCTTTGATATGCCAATAAGTAAGACATGAAGACAGTATACTCCTCCCCACTTGCCACCAGCATTCCAGCAACTGAGGATGAAAATAGACATTCGAGTTTCTTAGAAAAAAGTCCTGGTTCCCTAGACCTAACTCGGGTTCCTTGCAGCCACACAATAGTTTCAGCTAATGGCTTTTAAAAAATAAAGGAGAACCCATTTGGGCTTGGAATGCTGCCATGGAGGGAGGGAGGGAGGGAGGGCTTAAGCTTTCCTTCCAAGTTGATTTCTTGTGCCAAAATGGTACTTGGAGGAAAGTTTCCCTCCTGTTTTTTCTGGTCCACATATTATGTGGACATGGCGCAGCAAAAATGGGTACAGAACTCCCCCCAGAATTGTTTCAGTGTGGAAAACTGCTTGGGGGAAGGCAGCCCCCCCCCACCGTAGCAGCATTCTGAGCCCAAATGGTCTCTCCTTTATTTAAAAAAAGTCATTCACCACATCTGCTATGTGGCTGCAGGAAACCAAATTGAGCCCAGGAAACCTGGGCCAACTCTTTACAAACCCAAGTGTCTAGTTTGGCTTTATATGTGGAGGCATGTTGCCTCCAAACTATTTAGTTATCTACTAATAGCCATTAATAGGTTTATCTCCCATTATCCAGTCCCTCTTTAAGTTATGCAAACCAAGGGCCATTATCACATTTTTGATAGCAGATTGTGTAAGTTAATGATGCATTTGTTGCAAAACTGTTTTCTTTTATCTGTCCTGGATTCAGTGGGTGATGTTGTTCTGCTGTTCTAATTGCACTACTAAAAAAATTTCTCTCTCCCTCTCTACACCATGCATAATTGTATAAGCTTCTGTGATATTTTCCCTAAATCATATTGCCTAAATTGGAGAACATTTTCTCTTAGAGGAGGCTCTCCAAATCGTTATTGGAGAGCCATTGTGGCATAGTGGTTAAGAGTGTCAGTCTGCTGTCTGCAAGACCCATGTTCCAGTCCCCACTCTTATCATGGAAACTCACTGGATGATGGCAAGCCAGTCACACTCTCTTAGCCTGATCTACCTCACAGGATTGTTGTGAAGATAAAATGGGGAGGAGAATGATATAAGCTTATTTGGGTCCCCATTGGGGAGAAAGGCAGAATTAAATAATTTTGATTGTGCCTTCCTGCATTTTTATTTTTGTTTTGTTTTGTTATACCATCAACCTAATTTAGAAAGAGTGACAAGCACACAAAGTCTGACTTCTGCTTTCACTTTATGTTCCATACATTACTAGGTTAAACAGCCTAAAAATGACTCCATAAGAGGGCATATTCTGCTGAGATTGCTGTGTTATTCTATTGCAGAAGAAACAGCCGAGAGTTTTGCAGCACTTTTAAGATTAATAGCTGTATTGTGGAATAAACTTGCATGGACTGGAGCCCACTTTGTCAGAAGCATGAAGTATTATCTTCAGTTGGCAGATGGAGTTATATACAAAGGGAAAAAATGTAATCAGTGCTGCCCAAAGGCCGTGAAATGCAAAATGTACAGAAAATATGTGACCTTTATGTGGAAAGAAATAACACATACTGTTTCAAAGCCCACCACCCACCCATGGAGTGGCTTTTTGAGGAGGGGCACAAGGGATTGCAAAGGAAAAAGGTGGAGCAGAAAAGCCCCATTATGGAAGCAGAACTCTTCCCAGAGTTCTTGGGATCCAATTAATTGATTCCACCCTGTTTGAATATGAACCAAATGATGTGTGGCCAATTTGTATTGATTCCTATCACACAGTAGTGATAGCTGACTGTGCAATCCTAGACAGAGTTAACCTTTTGAAGCGCATGGGCTTCCATGGACTCAGAACGATGTGACTCTGCTTAGAATTGCTCTGTAAGTTATCACTCCTGTGTGATGTGAATTGCACTTTAGGTCTCAGGCTGTTTTCATTGCAACTTTGGGTCCAACAAAAAAAATTAGCCATTTCCCTCTCCACACACACACACGATGTTCATGGAGAAATAGTTTATGCTCATGCATTTATAATGTTAATCCATATTAGGCATAAAAATTGGAAAGACATTTTGTTAACCATTGGTCATTAATTTTAAAATTCTCTGCTAGGACTGTCACAACATGTGGTTACAGACTACCATCAAGTAGTTAGACTTCTGGAAGAAGGAATAGCAAACAGGTATTTTATTCCAAATTCCTCAGAACATGTTGGCTCTCTTTTTTATATATTTTATGTTGATTGTTCTAGGTATACTACCATCTGTCCTTCCTTGGTTAATGCTTGCAGTTAATTTGTCGAAAAATATGAAGATGGTGCATATCTTGATATTATCAGAAAAAAGGAATACACCTTGATATAGTTGTAACAATAGTATCTGTGGACAATTTAAGTTTAAACTGATGTTTTGATGTATATAATATTCTGTAGGTTCACTGAAGAGCAAGTTAGAAGGATATTAGCACTACTGAAGTCTACAGAATTAATAATATTTTGCGAACATTGTGCATAATGTCAGTAATATAGGGTAGGCAATATAGCATGACAAAGTCAGTCTGGCGATATCTAATTCCAAATGTAACTTGTGAATCCAAAACTCATGACAATATATTTTTTAGGATCTCATAAAACCCTTTATTGTTTGTAGCTATTTAAGTGTGTGTGTGTGTGTATTTTATGCATGCTATTTCAAAACACAAGCAAGCATACCTAACCACACTTTTCCTGTGGGAGACTGTTTTTCCTCAGTTGTTTGTTTTACCTTTGGTTTAATCGCTCTTCTGATTTCATTCTTGGAAAAGTGTTTCTGCCATATATCAAAGGAATCACTGATCAGATGGGAAAACTTATGAAAAAACACAACCTACAAACAGTATTCAGATCCACCAGAAAAATACAACAGATGCTACGATTGGCAAAAGACAGAAGAGACCCCTAACTACTGCAGGAGTATACCACATACCCTGCAGTTGTGGGCGGGTTTACATCAGATTCGGGACCACAAAATATAGCATCCAGAGAAGAATAAAAGAACATGAAAGAGCCACAGCCCTTCCCCCTTATATAAGTGAAATAAAGCCCTGAGTCCTGGATTTGGCCAACCTGAAAAATCAGGAGTGACTGAACATAGCCTAACTCAAACAGGACACAGTATCTTATTCCAAGACACTGAAATGCTGGACAACACATCCAATCCCATGTCAGATCACACAGGGAAGCTATTGAAATTTATAAACATAAACACAATTTCTACAGGAAAGAAGAGAGTTTAAAAATAAATAGGACATGGTTTCCAGTCCTGAAAAACACAAAATGCTCTACATCTTGCAACAGCACTGCAGATAAGATTAGAATTTCAACAGCCAATCCCTATGCAAAAGAACCTCCTCAGGAACGCTCCTCCATTAGCATGTCACAGCCTGGGAAACTCCTACAAGATAATGACTCAGCCCTACCCTACCCTACCCTACCCTACCTTCCTGAGTAGATATAAATTACCTGCCTACCATTTTTCTTCTCACCTTGGCATAGAGAGTACGCCATCTTTCTGTGTTATATCTCTGAGTATGCCAGTCACAGCTGCTGGTGAAACGTCAGGTCCTACAATGCCAGGACCACGGGGGCCATACAGCCTGGAAAATCTACAACAACTAAAGTACATATTGTCTACTCAGACTGGCAGCAGCTGTCCCAGGTAGAGGTCTTTCACTTCACCTCCTACTTAATCCTTTAGCTGGATGTGCCAGGGATCAGACCTGGGACCTTCTACATGCAAAGCAGAGGCTCTTCTACAGAGCCACAGCCCTTCCCCCTTATATAAGTGAAACAAAGCCCTGACCTGGATAGCCCAGGCTAGCCTGATCCCATCAGATCTTGGAAGTTAAGCAGGGTCGGCATTGGCTTGTATTTGGAAGGGCGACCTCCAAGGCATACCAGGATCTTGATGCAGAGGCAGGCAATAGCAAACCACCTCTGAAATGTCTCTTGCCTTAAAAACTTTGGTGGCTTAAAAACAAGTCTAGCTCGCCACCTACTGGTGCATAACACTAAAGACATAGAACTTTTGGATTCTTGTGTAATGTCTAAAGTTGGCTGCTCTGTCTGTCGTAGCCAACAGTAAGATGAATAACTCGCCATGGCAGGAGATGCAAATTGTATAATGTCCAAAAACATTTGGTTTGTTTAGCTGGTATAGCTTTTCTGACAGAATGGCACTTCAAGTGGCACACAACAAAACGATTAAATAATGATAAAAGTCATAGAACAATTTAGTGTTTTAAATTTAAAAACTTTGATTTACTATGTTGGAACAACGTGGCTGATTTCCTCCATTGTTATTCACTATAGTAAATATTTTACTATATATAGTATTTTAAGATTTCATATGGATGCTAGGCATGATACAGAGGTACCAGCATGTGACTAGTCCTGATTCCAGAGTGTTTTCAGGCACATGATGCCATAGTTTTGCTGGAGTGAAAGCTGTGGAAGAAAGGTAACTGTAATAAATACTATATCCAGTTGTTTGATGGAATGTGCTTTCTCATATGGATCCAAGCGAAGATACAGATCATATCCAAATCTTTGAACTTTGTATTTTAAACATGATTCTTATGCTTTTGCCTATTAGTTTGCATCTCTTGTCTGTGCTTTGGCTTCCTCATAGAAAACCGAAACATTAAACTCCACTTTTTTGTTTGTGTCTAGAATTACTGCAGTTACACATGTTCATGATGCCAGCAGCAGATCCCATGCCATCTTCACTATTCAGTATACTCAAGTTAGTTCCATCTTCTATTCAAGTATTTTTTAAAAAGTAATTGAGACATTGGTTTGAATCCAAAGTACCTGATATAAACAAAGATACAGCAGAACTATTTTTAACTTTCTAATATTTGAAAATATTTCTTGAACCAGTACCTTGGGGCTTCAGAGTATAATTCATTGAAGCCTTATTGCAAGGTTATTTTTGTTCTATTTCACATATATTCTTGAAGTGTGGTCCAGTGAAAGTGTTGGCTCCCCTTATTCTGCATCTGCATACAGCTGAGTTTGTTAAGGTGTTGTAGCCTCTTGTTTAGCAAATCCTATACTAAACCCATAACTGCTTCTTGAAGTTACTGGAGAATCCAGAAATGGGGGGAAAAATCATACACAGATAAACATTTGTTTGAATAAATGTGAGTTACATATATTAATATTTTATTGTGTTTTCCTTCAGGCTATATTAGAGAATAATCTGCCCTCTGAAATTGCAAGCAAGATCAATTTAGTGGACCTTGCAGGCAGGTAATGTTTCAGCTTTTGGGACAGTATTCCATAAGCTAGTCATTGCTAAATTTTCTATCTTCAGGGAATAATTTTCACATTGCCATTGAGCCTGTGCTGTACACTGCAAAGCATTCTAGGTCAGTATGTGTTCATACATTCAGTTCATTATTTTGGGAAACTCCAGGGTTCCCTAACCCAGTTTGCGAAACAGTGCTGTAAAGCTGCTATAAAGCTTTTGTTAAGATCCAACAGAACAAGGATATTAAGCGTGCCTTAGAAAAGAGTAAGAGCCCAGTAGCACCTTTAACAAAATTTGTGGTAAGGTATGAGCTTTCATGAGTCACTGCTCACTTCTTCAGATACAGCCATTAAGCTTGCCTTGTCAGTCATGTAGTCTTTGTAATACAGATGTGATGGAAACAAAGAGAAAGAGGTACATTTTCTAAGAACAGTATCCAGTACTAAAAATGGCTTCAGGGGAGTGGAATGAAGCACCATGCACAGGGTTAAAATTTTGTTAGTTTGGTGCCTGCAAAATAACATGAAAAGAACTACCTTTCTCGCTCTCTGTGTACATGGGGAAATGGTTTTGTATACATTTATAGTTCCATTGAAAAGAACCACTGGGACTTGGAATGCATTATATGATCAAAGTTAGTTTGTATAAAGATTATTATTAAGCACCCTTAAGAGTGGGTGTTTTCCTGTGGCATTAAGGTGCAGCCACCTTCATTTTTATGTATCCATTAGGGAGAACATGTGCTATCCCAGCAAAATGGGTGAAGCAGCCGTGAGCTTTTTCCTGTGTGTTCTGTTGCATTTGGCTGAGAGTGCCATTTTATGTATTCCATCTATGTACTGAACTCACATCATGAGGGGTTTTATGGAGGGGTTTTCAGAAGCAGGCCCATAATTGGAGAATCACTTCCCTAAGCTTGCCAAAACCTCAGCCTGGGTGTTTTCCAGACCTCACTTTGGAAAATAGTTTTCAGTGGTGGGAAAGCCTAGCTGGTACTTTAGCCTTTTAAAAGCTGGTTGGGGTTTTATTTTTATGTTGCAATCATTTTCAGGTTTGCATTTAGTTGTGGTAATTTTCCTTAGTTGTGGTAATTTTCCTTACTTATTGTGTTTCAGTGAAAGAGCAGATCCCAGTTACTGCAAAGATCGGATTACAGAAGGTGCCAACATTAACAAATCATTGGTAACCCTTGGAATTGTCATCTCTACCTTAGGTATAAATAATCTACCTTTTGTTTTAACAATAGCTGTACACTGTTCTACAATACAGATTGCCCTGCTGCATTGTTAGATGGCATATCATGATGCATGTTGCTGTCATTATAAATATAAATGCCTGTACAGCTTATGGAGTTCTCATTGTACATGCTGTTGCCTAGTGCCTATTCCTAGTGGGATATTTACCCGGAGACAAGGCATCAAGCTAGGAATGTGCAATATGCTGAGAAATTGCAAACATTACTTTGGGCTTCCCTACTACAAATGAGTGATGGCTGTCTGTTATACAAATCATAAACTATTTGTGTTTCCCCCTCCTCCTTGTTCTTAGCACAAAATTCTCAGATGATCAGCAGTTGCCAGAGTATAAACAGCATAGCCAGTGATGTGGATAGCAGCCAAACAGGCAGCCAATGCGGAGCCAGCATCAGTGGTCAGAGACGTCAAGCGTACATTCCATACCGTGACTCCATCCTCACTTGGCTTCTGAAGGATAGTTTGGGTGGTAATTCCAAGACAATTATGATTGCAAGTAAGTTCAAGGTGCTGTGTTATTGTTTGTGGTCAGAAGGCTTGTGTGATCTAGACACATATCAGTGTGAATATTACTTCCTTTCTAATCCAAGCCCAAGTCTACATTGAAATAGGAATGAGGAATAAGGAAGAAACCTGTTCTGCTGCTTCTAATTCTTAAGCAGAAAGAGCTGCTGCCTTAAGTTCTAGACCCAGTTTGTCTGAGGAGTAAAAAGTGGTGTGCTTTGCATTTTGTAAACCAGTTTTTAAATCTTCTTAAATAGCTAATTTTCTTCCCCTATAGCGATCTCTCCTGCAAGTTCTTGCTATAATGAGACCATGAATACCTTGCGATATGCCTCAAATGCCAAAAATATTATTAACAAACCCCGGGTGAATGAGGTTAGTCTTGATGCTTTATCACGTCTTACAAGTGTGTTTGATCAAGTTATACTGAATGTCACTTACAAAAACATACATACGTAAACGTAAGTTAATCTCTAAAAGATACTTAAATACATTTTTGTCATATAGTTTATGTGCATTTTAAATTCTTCTATAGTTCTTGCTTTTTGCGTATTGTTAGTTCTAATTGCCTACCCCATAGTGAAGTATAATAATGAGTTTGATCCTGTTCTCATAGCATTTGTTTGCATGTTATTCTATTGCAGAAGAAACAGCCGAGAGTTTTGCAGCACTTTTAAGATTAATAGCTGTATTGTGGAATAAACTTGCATGGACTGGAGCCCACTTTGTCAGAAGCATGAAGTATTATCTTCAGTTGGCAGATGGAGTTATATACAAAGGGGAAAAATGTAATCAATGCTGCCCAAAGGCCGTGAAATGCAAAATTTACAGAAATGTGACCTTTATGTGGAAAGAAATAACACATACTGTTTCAAAGCCCACCACCCACCCATGGAGTGGCTTTTTGAGGAGGGGCACAAGGGATTGCAAAGGAAAAAGGTGGAGCAGAAAAGCCCCATTATGGAAGCAGAACTCTTCCCAGAGTTCTTGGGATCCAATTAATTGATTCCACCCTGTTTGAATATGAACCAAATGATGTGTGGCCAATTTGTATTGATTCCTATCACACAGTAGTGATAGCTGACTGTGCAATCCTAGACAGAGTTAACCTTTTGAAGCGCATGGGCTTCCATGGACTCAGAACGATGTGACTCTGCTTAGAATTGCTCTGTAAGTTATCACTCCTGTGTGATGTGAATTGCACTTTAGGTCTCAGGCTGTTTTCATTGCAACTTTGTGTCCAACCAAAAAAATTAGCCATTTCCCTCTCCACACACACACACACGATGTTCATGGAGAAATAGTTTATGCTCATGCATTTATAATGTTAATCCATATTAGGCATAAAAATTGGAAAGACATTTTGTTAACCATTGGTCATTAATTTTAAAATTCTCTGCTAGGACTGTCACAACATGTGGTTACAGACTACCATCAAGTAGTTAGACTTCTGGAAGAAGGAATAGCAAACAGGTATTTTATTCCAAATTCCTCAGAACATGTTGGCTCTCTTTTTTATATATTTTATGTTGATTGTTCTAGGTATACTACCATCTGTCCTTCCTTGGTTAATGCTTGCAGTTAATTTGTCGAAAAATATGAAGATGGTGCATATCTTGATATTATCAGAAAAAAGGAATACACCTTGATATAGTTGTAACAATAGTATCTGAGGACAATTTAAGTTTAAACTGATGTTTTGATGTATATAATATTCTGTAGGTTCACTGAAGAGCAAGTTAGAAGGATATTAGCACTACTGAAGTCTACAGAATTAATAATATTTTGCGAACATTGTGCATAATGTCAGTAATATAGGGTAGGCAATATAGCATGACAAAGTCAGTCTGGCGATATCTAATTCCAAATGTAACTTGTGAATCCAAAACTCATGACAATATATTTTTTAGGATCTCATAAAACCCTTTATTGTTTGTAGCTATTTAAGTGTGTGTGTGTGTGT